CAGCTGCTTTGGTTCCCGTCTGTCTGTCTCGCAGCTGCTTTGGTTCCTGTCTGTCTCTCAGCTGCTCTGGTTCCTGTCTCACCTGTGTAGTTACCTGTCTGTCCTCCAGGTGTTCTGGTTGCAGGTGCGTTCGGGAACTTCTGCACGGAGGCGACGGGCTTCTCTCGGCTGTTTCCTGGTCTCAGGTGTCACCTGCTGATGCTGCCGTTCTGGTTCCGAGTCCCGTTCTTCAGGGACTACATCATGAGTGGAGGTACTCACCTGGACCAGGTAGAATAGAAGCAGATCAGTGAACCAGAACCGGTTAGTTCCGGTCTCTTCACCTGGACCCTGCCATTGTTCTGGATCTGAGCTTGATGGAGGTTCTGTCCCGGTTTGGACATATCGGTCTCTAAAAGTTCTGGATGTTTTTGTTGGAGCAAAACTAAAAACCCAGAGGAACCTTGTGGGTCGTGTTTGGGCTCGTCAGAACTTGAGCTCAGCCATGTCGGATCATCCTGACCTGAACAGAACCGGGTCCAGCCTCAGCAGAACTTTGAGGTGTGCTTCAGGAAGCTCAACAGCTGGATCAGAACTTTTTAGGAGAGTTCCGTTTGACCCGTTTCATCAGAACTGCTCTGGTTTGGGTTTTCATAATCTTGAACTCCGTTCCAGTTGGAGTCCACAGAGACGGTGGAGGCCAGCAGCAGGACTCGATGACCCGGTTTCATCAGAGGGTCTGGACTTGGTAAAACTGGGCTGCAGGTCGGAGCAGGAGGCAGCCCCAGCATGCTCTCTGATTGGCTGTCAGCCCAGTCACATGGGGTCAGCTACTGGTACCGACCCGTCTGATCATCAGCTGGACCTCTGGTTCTGGTTCCTCCTGTGGTTCTGCTCATGTACAGAAAGACCTGACTTCTTTCCATTGTTGCGGGTTCTGCTCAGTTCTCTGTTTCAGTCTGGTTCAGGTTCTGGACCCTGACTGAATCATTGGTTCTGGTCTTTTTGACCCGTTCTGTTGCAGATCAGCTGCTGACCCGTTGGGCCTAGTTTGGTCCAAGCTTCAGCTGTTGGACAGATCGTCTGACTCCAGAACCCTGTGGACCAAAGCAGAACCAAGATGAAACCTAAAGAACCGGGTCTTATGAGGTTCTGATGAGTCAGAACCAGAGGTGGACTTTGTTTCACCTGGACTCTAATGGACCCACTGAAACAGGAAGTGACCTCACAGTGTTCTTCCAATATTCAGTGCTGTTCAGTTTTATAACTTTATAAAATATATTTCTGCTCTGTGCGTTTATATAAATGTGTGTAAAGATTTATATTTGTTAAAAATAATAACACGAGTTGTAATTTTTAATGTTTTTGTTAAATCTTTACTGATTTAAAGTCAAAACTTTGTGTGAGTTGAACTTTGTTTCTTCCTCTCAGCTGATTGGCCGATGTCCTGTCAATCAAAGGTTTAACGTCCAATCAGAGAACAGGTGGGTTGGGCTGTCGGGGGTGGAGCTTAACTGACTGCAGGTCCTGGAAGGGGAGTAGTTTTAAAGATGGAGGACATCTGGAAGTGTTTAGGACTGATCACTCCTGGGTCTGAGTCCGGGTTCCTTCAGTCCTGCAGGTTCTGTGTTGGCGGTCTTTAGGTGGACTTTGTCCTGTTGTGTCAAAACTCAATGAAGATGTCCAAAGAACCATCTGCAGGGTTCTTTGGACATGAGGTTCTGTGAAGAACAACGTTCTGATTGGACTCCTGAGGAGTTCTGGTCACAGAGTTGAGGTCTCACCTGTGTGTCTCCAGGTCTGGTGTCCAGCAGTAAGTCCAGTCTGTCCTACCTGGTCAGTCGTCCAGAAGGAGGCAACGTGGCGGTGATTGCAGTGGGCGGAGCTCCAGAGGCTCTGGACGCTCGACCCGGAGCTCTGACGCTGCAGGTACGTCTTCTTGGTCTGGGACAGGAGAGGACGTCTGAACCGGACTTTAGTGACTCAGCAGAACCAGAATGTTCTGGACTCTGGATGTTTTGGTTCTGTTAATCTTACACCTGTTTGTCTTCCAGGTGAAACACAGGAAGGGGTTCATCAAGCTGGCCCTCAAACATGGGTGGGTGGAGCCTAATGAAAGGGCGGAGCTGTTGTTGTTTGTGTTGTTGTTTGTGTTGATGTTGTTGTTTGTTTGTGCGCAGAGCTCAGCTGGTTCCGGTCTTTTCCTTCGGAGAAAACGAGCTGTTCGATCAGATGGAGAATCCGGTCGGCTCTCCTCTGAGGAGGCTGCAGGTCAGAGGTCACCAAACACAACACAGAACCAGAACCGGGTCGGAGCGGTCCGATGCTCAGGATCACCCAGATGACCTGGAGAGAACCTGCTGTGACATCGGTTTCCAGAAGTGTCGGAGGTTCTGACTGGTCGGTTCTGGTTCTGATGGGTCATGAACGACTCGTTGGAACCATTGCTAAAGTGAAATGGAACCTGACGTCAGAACCGCAGGTTCTCTGAGGTTTCCTGGTCCGGTTTATGCTGAGCAAGGTTCTCCTGAGTTCAGCCGGACTTGTGTTCTATTTCCTGCCCAGAACCGTAAGTTTGGACCTGTGTTGGTATTATGGGATGTCTGGTTCTGTGTCCACAGAACCGCCTGCAGAGCATCTTTGGAATCTCCATTCCTCTGTTCCACGCCAGAGGAGTGTTCCAGTACAGCTTCGGACTCGTACCCTACAGGAAGCCCGTCCACACCGTCGGTACGCCAGAACCTTCGGAAAACAGGAGCCGCACGATACAGTAGAACCCGTTAGAACCTGTTAGAACCAGGACCTTAGTGCTGACTCTGCTCTGTCCCTGGTTCTGTTCCAGTGGGTCGGCCCATCTCGGTCCTGCAGACCTCCTGTCCCAGTTCTGAGGACATCGAGCGTCTCCACGGCGTCTACCTGCAGAGTCTGACGGAGCTGTTCGAGCAGCACAAGGACTCGTACGGACTGGGTCAGCACCAGCACCTCACCTTCATATGACCTCCCACGTGTTCCGGTCCAGAACCTGCCACAGACCTCTGGTCCACTCCAGAACCTGCCACAAACCTCCACAGCACCTGACCTCTGTGCACCATGTGACCCAGTTCCTGCCGTCTGATTGGTCCACTGAAACACGTCCACGGTTCTTCAGCCCCAGAGGAGGAACTGAACCGGTCCAGAACCTGCAGCTGTAATCAGTGGACAGCAGGGGGCGCTTCAGAACCGAACCAGAACTGTTCTGATGATCCAAAGCTGCTCTGAAAGGTCCGACTCTGAGATGGGTCAGATTCTGAGGATCCAAACGGGCCTTTTTGCCGGTCTTTATGTTTCAGGGAATAAAACTTTTCACAATAATAAAACTTTTGACTTGAATAATAAACCTCTTTATAATAAAGTTATTTAATAAACATCTTTAATAAATAAAACTGTCATAATAAACCTCTTCATAATAAACTTATTTAATAATAAACATCTTTA